ACTTGTGATCCTCCTGTTCAGCCTCCTGAGTTGCTGGGATTACAGGCATGCGTACCGCACCAGGTTTACAGCCATCACTTTTAAAGAATCTACTCTACAGAGCCCCATGCTCCAGGTTTGAATCCCTAGTACCAAAAAGGAAGAAGAAAGCTAACCCTTAGAAATAAAAGCAGCACATGAGGACATATATAAAAGACTGTTTTACATGTGCATAACTTGACAAAAATAAAAAGGAGGGAGGAATTAAATATCCTCTGTAGGAGAAGGCCTGAATAAATTAAGGCACACCCAGGTTATAAAATATTATCGCAGCACTTTAAAAATGAATTAAAGTTATACTAGTTGTTTGCAAGGAATTGCCTTGAGGTTTGTTGAGTTTCAAAAGCAAGATGCAGAAATATGTGCATAATATGATCCTTTTTATGTATAAGTACTGAAACATAAAAAATGAAATTATTAGTATTAAAAACTATTAAGTTTGCCAACAACATAAAATGAGTGCATACAATCTACTGAGACATAATGCAAACATATGAAAGAAATAAAAATAATCATTCCACTTTAAAAGGATGTAACTTCATTGATGACTCATACCAAAACACCGTTTACTTTCTAATGGAGAAACAAAGCAATTACAAAACAGAACAGAAATCCAGAAAATTCCAAGGGGAGGGGTAACTCTCAAAGGCTCTCTCCAAGAGATAAACCACAGCATGGTTTTAAGAGACGCGATGGTTTAGGTCAAGAAGGAAGTAGCCAGATGGCCAATTCACTCACTGAGTGTTTACGCACTGGGCATCAGGTCCTGTGCACCTAAGGTCCATGAACCAGGCAAATCTCTACTGGAAGAGATACGTCAAGATGATACACTCATACATAATTTGCATCATTAGGATATCATTTTTCAAAAAAAAAAAAATCACATGGCTGCCTCTACTGAAGACTTATATCCATGTGACCAGGAGCATTTAAACAGGCACCGTTGCTAGCTGAAATCTTCTGCAATGTGGCAATTCCTGAGAGAATAGATGATTAACAAAGAAAATTCAGTATCTATTTGTAGTAATAAGAACAGAAATTGAAGTGTTTATACAGCAAACTGTTCTTAATGCTTCCAAACTCCATCTTCTCATGAGAGTGAGTATTTCAGATTGGACCATCGCAGACTTCATCATTAGAGTCAACGTACATAGAAGAGAGAAGCCATTGATCAGCTACTTAAAAAAAAAAAAATTACAGGAGAAAAGGCAAGTGTGGTACAAAGAACTCTTCTGGGAACCGTTTCAGAAGCGGCCAACTTGAACGTTCAGTTTGTATTGCGGACTCCTACCTAATAAAACCCAGCCGTACGACAGGACTTTAACAGAGACACGGTAGCACTCACTGGCCTGCAGACTGCATTCAAGGTTTAAATTGTCCCTGTAATGTCCTTTATAGCAGAAGGTCCCGTTCAGTCGTGACTCGTAGTTGTCGTTTCTCTTGAACCTCTTCAGTTCTGCCTTGACTTCCGTGACCTTCACACTTCCGAGATCCCAGGCTGCCATTTGGGGGAATTTCCTTCAGTTGGGGCTTGATATTTCCTCGTGATGAGAGTCCGAGTCTGGTTGACATCTGTGACAGACACGACACTGTGTCTTGCCCTCTTCCAGTGGCACTTGTCTCCGTGGTCCTCTTGCGGATGCTGCCCACTGACCTATCCATGAGGCTGGAGTCTGCCCTTTTCCCTTTGAAGTGGACGAGTGTTTTGTGGAGAGGTAAGTTGGGACTGTCACCGTCCCATTCCTCCTCAGAGTTTGCTCATTTATCCATATGGACTCAGACTCGTGGTTTCCCATCTTACTCAATTGGTTAGGATCCATCACTAAACTCACTTAATTTGATTCTCAAAGACCCCTTCTGCCTGACTTCGTGTCCTCTGGGCACCCTCGCCCTCATCATCCATCAGGCATTTGCTCACTTTGGGGCACAAAAGGAAATTCCGAGCTCATTTTGCCCTTTCTCTGCACCAGTCATGAGATCGGCCGCTTCTCCAGGGGCCCTGGTTTCTTCTTCAGAGAGTGGTACTTGGTAGCAAGCGTCTGGTGAGGGTGTGGTCAGTGCTGCCGTGGTGGCCCTGCTTCCTTGTCCTTTCTGGATGGTGCTGGGGAGTTTGCGTGCACACACGTGCACTCAGCCCACGGATGGGTGTACACTGAAACCACGTGTCCAGGCCAGCCCTCACCAGGTTTAGCTTTCTTCTTCCCCAGCGCTGTCCCTCCTTCTCCCACAACAGGAGACCCGGCTCCCTTCACCCTCATCAGGAAGCATTGGCCTCCTCACTCACGCAGGCTCTGACCTCTTCATGAGCCACCCACACCCCACAAGGCCTCTCTTCCCTGCTGCCCTGTCTGCACTGGGAAGCCACTCTGTCCCCAGCATAAGCACCCCCGAGACTCCCTGCTCTGGCCACTATGGCTCCCATGCCGTCGTGTCCACCTTGCTCAGTCCAACGGGCTTTGGGATGGGTTTCTACCACCCCTTTACCAATCACAGTGCCTTAGCAAGATGCAACCCAGGTGAGGCGTCTGGGGGCTGCACAGTCCCGGGAAATGGGGGTGGCAGTGGAGGCTCTCCCCATCCACCTGGCCTGCCTGGGTGAAAGCTCCCACACCTCAGGAGGCCTGGACAAGTGGCCTTTGCAACAGGAGAGCTTTGCCACCTGCAGCCCTTTCCACGGCAACTGCTGCCTTCCCCTGAGGCGCCCTGTCTCAGTGCAGCTGAGGGCAGGATTCCAGGGTGCAGCTGCTGTCTGAGGGGGCGTGGAGCTCTGGGCCCAGCGCTCGCTCCAGGGGCTGGAACCAGACCACTGTGCACCACTGGGAGAGAGGGGACAGAGAGGAAAGGCCCTGTGGGAGAGTCTCCCCAACTGCAGAGCCTATTTCAAATGAGATAAAGATGCCACTGTCTCCTGCCATGAGATGCCTGGAGGTGACACTGGGTGGACTTAATGAATCAAGGAGAGTAATAGCGAAATAATTTCAATGGCCAAGATCATCCCATCTAAATTGAAAATTGTAAAAAGCATCATCTCCACTCATAAACATTTAATATTCTATACTAATTTTAATTTTAGGCCTATAATAAAAATGATTTGACTGTGTTGTCATCTCTTTGAAAGGTCTGGGGATGTTTGTGTCTGGACGATGACATCTCTGGCTCACCGACACCTACTCAGAAGGGTGTCATTTCCCAGCTCTCCTCCTCTTATGTCTCCACAGTAATGACACGGTTAGGAGTCAACGCGGGCGCTCTGGGAACTTAATAACTGTGAGCACGCTCCAGTCACAGGTTCAGGTGTGTGCCTGCGAAACCCGAGGTGTGAGATTGTCGGCCGTTGGCAGGTTTCTGTTTCTCGGGCGTCGTGTTTTATGTCGCTGACAGTCACACCACTCCATCCCCTGAGGATAGCGGAGCATTAACCTGCACCTCCTGTCCGAGAATCTCCCAGATGCCCAGAACATTCCAGCAACTCCAAGGTGGGGCCCAAAGGGCACCTAGGCACAGTTTCCATCCCAGCCGAAGTCCACACAGTAGCATTCCCATCTTTGTTTTTAAAAAAGTTTTGCAAATCCAGACCTGTGAAGGCTTTTATTTTTATTATTTGTATCAGCTTTAAAAAACGTATCACCCTGGATGGCTGTGGGGAGCCTGGGCACAGCCACCAGCCTCACTGGGGCACTTTCCAGCTCCCTCGGGAACTGGAGAGACGTGACTCTCCATGCTCCGGCGGCTGCCTGAACACAGGGATGTGCCTCTGTGCAGTCATCCACTGCAGGGGAGCTCAGCTGTCCTTCCGGTGTCTTCCAAGGCCACTTGCCATTTCAGACAAAGCAGGATGGCTCTTCCTGTCCATGTACCTCACCCTCGGATCTCTGCAGAACTCTGGGTTCTCTGAAGCCAGGAACTGCCCTGATTCAAACCTCAGTAGCACACGCACATGGAGACGGGGGCCAGCGACTGGGGGAGGGAAAACAGTGGACCAGGTGCTTGGCATGGGCACAGATGACCTGCAGCCACCATCAGCTTGAGGAGGCCCTGAGGGAGTGTGGGAGGACAATGTCCTGCCAGGCGAGGGTGGACATGGCCCCCGTGCGACCTTGCCTTCACCGTTCCTAGACTCTCCTGGAATCTCCACACTTGAAGCCCCAGGAAGAAGGCAGGGTGCTCTCTGCTGCCATGGCGGCTCAGCGCTGGGGTGTGACATAGGGAGATGAAACTTTCCAGAGAAAAAAGGCCAGGCTTGTTTACTGCAGGCGGAAACAGATGAGCTAGGGCACAGGGTGGCAGAGAGCCTGTGCCAGGTGCGCACAGCCCACTGGGCAGCCCACGCTGAGCGGCACCACCTTAATAACACATGTACCCAACAACTCGCTCCGTCAGTTGAGCCTCACCGCTGTCCTGAGACCTGCCCTGTGCAGTCTGATTCACTGTGACCCTGGGGCTCCTTTTCTCTCCTCTCAACTGTGTGGAGTGGTGCTTCAGCCCCTGGCTTCGTTTCATGGAGTTCCCCTGGCTTTGTTGGCCGCTCTCCAGCGACTCCTCTCCCCACTCACAAAAGAGCTGGGCTGAGAGGGCAAATTGGGACCAGCAAAGTTTTTTTGGAACCTCTTCTGGCGACAAGCCTAAAAGGCCATTAAAGCTAAAAGCCATGTAATTTTTTTCTGCTGGGCAAAGAATGGAGTGAGGGTCTGGTTCTACTTAGGAAATCAGATTTCTGCTTTTGTGGGAAGTTTGTGGTAGGAACAAACCATTTTGTGTTTTTCGTCTAAAAATTATTTCCTCGGCTCTGCTAGGTGAATAAATAATTGTGTCCCATTATGACAGAAAGAGTCGGTTGTCCACAGAAGACAGCCTCAGGCAGCTTGGAAACAGCAGACAAGAAAGCATCCGTGCTGGGTAGCACAAGCACTAACTTCCCAAGCATGCATCTCCAAAGAATGCTAAAGAATAAAGACATCTGGTAAAGGTCAAATTCATGTTCTTATTTAAGGACGGTGTTCATTTGACATTTCGGTTGAGGAAAGACAGTTTCTCGGCTACTCGGAGAGGAAGTCAAAGTTGTTTAATGGCAGCCGTAGTCGCTGCTGTTACACAAAGGCCCTGATAGGAATTCCTCCTCTGTTCTCAATCACTGGGGACAGACAGACGGCTTCGGCTTTGCCTGATGAAGGAAGACAAAGAGTAAAGGAAAATAAAACATTTCTCAGCCCACAAAAAGACAAACACAGAATCTATTGTAAATGAAATAATTTTTTGACAGATGTCTTCCAGTTTTAGCAAACACACACACACACACACATAACCTGAGAAATGGTTTTTGAAGGGAAAAAAACATTGACAGAACATACTATAGATCTCAAATCAAGCAGACTTGGGAGGGGAAACAGCTTGGCAAAGACACTCCTGTGGGTTGTGGACTTCACTGATGGACCATGTGGTCAGAGTCAGGCAGTGGCACTGTGAACAGGAAGCCGGGACTGTCTTTGACATCTCCTCCTCCGGCCACTTAGTCTCTGGTACGGGGTCATCCACATGCCCAGGGGCCTGGCTGGTCACATTGCCAGGCTGCAGGTCCTGGCTGGGGTCAGGGCCACACGGGCCAGCTTTCCGTGGTCTCTGGGTGCAGAGCAGCACCCCTGTGCCTGCCCACACCGTAGACTCCTTCAGTCCCACCAGTGCCCACATCAACCCTCCCTGGCCTTCTCCCAGCCACCGGAGCAAGCAGCTTGTGGGGCCGGAGTTGTCCGCCTCTCACTGATGGCGTTTAAGCCCAGCTGGCCGTGGTCAGCGCCCTCCCGTGCGCTTTAGACCTGACAGGAAGCAGCAGGGATGCTGAACAAGGCAGGGAAGTTTGTGGCAGGAACAAACTATTTTGTGTTTTTTGTCTAAAAATTGTTTCCTGGGCTCTGCTAGGTGAATAAATAATTGTGTCCCATTATGACATAATTACAGTACGGCTCTGCCTGCAGCTGTACAGCTCTGTCCTCCATCTCAGGCCCTCTGCTCCTCCATATCTAGACCCTGCTGGTGCTGGTGGGTGGAGTTCTCTTCAAGACAATTCCACCTGCAGGACTTCCATTTGACATGATTTTCCAGTCGAGACACTTTGTTACCTACAGAGTCCTTATGATGAAACCTTTACTTCTATGTAAGGGCTACTGGCGTATCTTTCTCTTAAAAAAAAATTTTTTTTAGTTGTAGCTGGGCACAATATCTTTATTTTATTTGTTTCTTTTTATTTGCAGCTAAGGATGGAACCCAGGGCCTCACATATGCTGGGCAAGTGCTCTACCACTGAGCTACACTCCAATCCCCTGGCATACCTTTCTTTAAACAATCTCCTCAAAAATTATTTAAAAGTTGTCAAAAGGAATAAAATAAGAAATAATTATTGCAAATCCAATGGTTTTGCATACATCCTGCATATACTGTTGACATGTATGTAAAAGAGGGGTTTTTCCTTCATGAAAGAAAGGGTCAGAACCCAAGACTTTGAGCAAGTACCTAGGAAAGGTACTTTGTTTCATGGGGAGAAGAAAGAGGTGGGAATGAAACACCTCCCCTCAATTAAAAGGAGAAAAGAATCCACTCTTCTGAGTTTTGCTCTGTTGGGTTCCCTGTGCTCCTCATCCTGATGGAAAATACCCTCATCAGCCACAAGTGTACCAGGCTATGGCGAAAGGACACTTAGTTGATGGCTCTTCGTGTTGTACTTCATTGGATTTCAGAGAGGGACACGTGTTATTGAACTCTAAATACTGTTTTCTGATGACTAGCCACCTGCAAGCAGGGTTGAAATGCATCTCATGGAAACTCCCCAAGGGTCAATAGAGACAGGAGTCTATCAATGGGCAGAAACAATCTATCAGGGTTTCTTCCAGTAAATATTCATTGAGCACCTGGTGGGGGAGAGACACTATGGAGACACCATGGCAGGCATTGAGCATTTATCAACAAGCAACACTGACCCAGCTTCTGTCCCTGGGAGACTACAGTCTGCTGCAGAATAAACAGGAGCACACCAGGACAGGCCTGCAGCCAGAGCACAAAGCAGGGTGGACAACCAGGAAGGCCTCCAGGGAGGAGGACATCTAGCTGAGACCTGAAGGACACGTCGAATTTAACCTAAGGCTTAAGGGAAGAGGAACTTTCCGGAAAGAAACCCAGGCTGGGCCAAAACAGCGCATGCAAAAGGCAGGTGAGAAACAGGGACATTCCGAGAAAGCCAAGTGCTTCCGGGTGATGGCAACAGAGTCCAAGGTAGAGGGGAAAGAGCAAAAACAACAACTGTTCAAACCTCTGCAAGAGGGTCCCGGGTGGAGGGACGGAGCTCTTCTGTGAGCTGGGAGTTTTAAGGGGAAGAGTCAGGACCAGTGGGTGGAAATTCCAGCAAGATGGCCACTAGAACAAGGCTGCAGCAATGGCTGTCCTGATCTCGCCCCCAGGGTGTGCCAGCCATTGCTGAAGGTTTCCATCCACCACCCGCTGGACCTCAGAGCAGCCCCATGAGGAAAACCTCCCGAGAAGGCAGATGCAGGCCAGCTGAGTTAGCCAGCACAAGGGCATCCAGATGCCCCATCCAAGTGGGGAGTGAGGGCTCTGGAGCCCGTGACCTCAGCTGGGATCTCGCTATTTGTCTCCATCTTCCACCCACTTCCCTGTGAGAGTTATGTTGTCACAGAGCAAATGTGCCACTCTGAAGCTTCCCATCAGTGGAGGTGGTCAGCCGTCTGCCAGGGGCACTGCAGAAGACCCAGGCATCCAGGAGACCCATGGGCCTTCCCGGGCCTTCCACTTGTGAAATTCAGGGATTTGATGGCGTGCTAAAGGCAGGATATGAATACAACCCCCAAAGATGACCACCCAGTCCATCCTGGGCAGCTGTGCGTTCAGGTGCCTAACAGGCAGCCTGCAGGGCCACCCTTTGGGTAGACCTTCTAGGGAGGCACCAATCATCTTCGAGGTGGAGGAGAGGATGGGCTGAGCACAGAGAGGGAGCAGAGTGAAATGGACCAAATTAGGGCAGCACAACCCTCCATAAAGGCATGCATCTTTCACAAACATCTGCTTTAGCTAATGCTGGCCTTGGGCAGTATTAAATTATGTATTCAGCTCTTAAACTATCACAGATTCATGGTTCGAGAACATAACCGTGAGAAAATATTGCACCACCAGCCCAGAAACAAAACAGCTCTGCTCATTTTGCATTAAAATATTTTGGTGCATTTCTATAATAATTCTTCATCTTTCAAATTAAAGGGCACTGTGGGAGACCACATAGGTTAGAAAGCAGAGGAACTCTTTCTTCTTTATTGACTTATTAAAAAAAAAAAAGAATAAGAAATTACCTCTTTTGCTTACCACTCAGTGAAGGGGATCCAAATAAATAACAATAAATCACACAATGAATTAGAGGCAGCCGGACCTTAGAGAACTTCCCCGGTATGTTCTCAAGTCTGAGAACTGCCTTTTGTTTAAGATCTCAAATCATCATCTTCTTGGTTTGTACCTCACGCCGGCAGGCCCCCAGCCCTGTCCCAGCATTTCCTAAGAACAGCAGACTATACACTATCAGCACCAAGACTCCACCTGCAAATTTTTAAAAGAGAAAGTTGTTGGTGATGAGAGTGGAGACCGGACACATTTCCCAGGTGTCCTGCCCTTTATTCCCCCAAATACTACGTCTCTGCAGGGAGAGGTGGGTGTACAGGAGCAATCAGGTCATAACGATGACGCCATAACCTTGGGTATTGGAACCACCTCTCAACAGCTGAAATCACGGGTCTCCTGAAGAGGCTCAGCACCTTCACCTTTAACCCCCAGTGCCTGGCACGGTGGTTGCTGCCCACCACACAGTCCTTGTACACATCTGTGGACTTTCTGAGGGTGTGCACACCCCTTTCCTGATCTGCCTTCCCGAGACAAAGCCGGACACCAGAACAGCTTTTGTGTTGCCAACTCTCTTTGTAGAGGAAAAAACTGAGAACCAGGGAGCACTGGCTCACAGGTGCTGAATCAACCCTAGACGCTCAGGGTCCTCATCCAATCCTTCCCCATGTGAATGAAGGCTGCATCCGTGGAGCTTCACAAACACAAAGGTAGATGGAGGAAATAGACCTGGACACAGACCTCCCTCCTGGGAGGGGCCGGGGAGGCACCCCGAGTCTCTATCATCATGCTGACAACAGGCCAGGCGGGAGGGCAGACCTCGGGCGTCATGAGATGAGAGGTCATGCACAAGTCTGGACCTGTCCCTAGCTTAGCCAAAGCCTCTGCCTTGCTCAAAGTATCACGGGGCCTCTGAAACCCCAGCTCCCTCTACCTCCCTCCTCGCTGTGGGTCATACCTGCTACCTGTGCCGTCCCCGACCTCATCACACCTGCCCACCAGCCCCTGGAATCACAGAAGCAGGGCCTCCTGTGTTCTGGAGGCCCCTCGCCCAGCCTCTGCAGTGGAGGAAAGCTTACAAGGCCTGCCCTGAAGTTAGGAATGGGCCTTCATCTCCATCTCCTAGAAGGACGAGTCTGGAGTGTCCTGAACGCCGCCTTCCTCTCCAAGCGTCTGGAAGGAGCTGAGAGACTTCTGATCCGACTCTTCTTTCTGCTTTGCTCTCCCGTCCCTGGGCTTGGCCTTGGATGCATGAAGCCCAACCCATGGCAGTTCTGACCAAATGGCCAAGGAGAGCCCACAGCTGGGCTCCCGTCAGGCTGAGTCGCCACTGAAGAGCCACCACAAAGCTGCACGACATTTGGGAGACAGGTGTAAATGGACCACAGGCCTAGGAAGGAGGCGGGACGTGAGCCCAGACTCACCAACCCAGAAGCCCGTGGAAGCTGGGACTACCCAGAGGCAACCAGGAGCGGTAGAGCCCTCTGTTCTGCCGCCCCATGGGCTGCATTTATCCTGGACAGAAGGGGTGTGGGAAGGCAGAAAGGAAGCCCACCTTGCTGAAAAGAAGCCCACCATGCTCCTGGCTTCCTCTGTCTGGAGAGCCCCACCATGATGCCAGGAGCTGGCAGCAGGCTGAGCTCACAGCAGTGCAGACCAGACGGGTTTTTGAGACTTTATCTCAGGAAGATTAAAATCAGCACCATAGAGGGGTGGAATCTGACCTCTGAGTCAGCAAAAGCAAGAAAAGAAACCACAGAATTTGGGGGTTGG